GAACTCAGGAGCGTCGTCTAGTTCACTGGGAGAAGCATTTCGAGAAGCAGTTTAATTGGTTCTTATCGTCTTCAGGTTTGATCACTAACCCAATGGGTACGGCTTTTGTTGTAGATAACAGTTCTCCGTCAGAAGCGGAGGTTTTTTGCGAGATACGCTATCTTAAACGACATAAGGCTGCCGGACCGGAAGGGTTGCCTCCGTCGATTTTCGAAGACGGTAACCCAGCACTTCTACTGGAGTTGACGAAACTCCTCGATTTGATATGGGAAAAGGAACAAGTTCCAAGGAGTTGGTGTGAATCGGTGATCGTACCGATTTATAAGGCGACAGGTCCTCCTGTGAAAACCACAGGGGAATAAGTCTGGTTAGCCCCGCATCCAAACTGCTCGTTGGTATTATTCTCGACCGCCTAACAACCGCTCGCGAACAGTTCTCATGCGAGAATCAAGCTGGGTTCAGACCCAGTCGCGGTTGTATTGATCAAATCTTCACTCTTCGACAAATTTTAGAACACAAACACACCTTCAGTAGGCCCCCTTTTTCTGTTTTTCTTGATCTAAAGCGGTCTTCGACCCAGTCGATCAGACAGTTCTCTGCCACTGCCTCTTACTGGAGGGTGTACCAGAGAAATTCATTTCCATGGTAAATCACTTTACATTATTAGCCGAAGCCGAATTCGGGCTTACGGTGATCTTTCACCACGAGAACTGGCGCGCGTCAGGGTTGTCCACTCTCTCCCTTTCTCTTCAACTTTGTGATTGATATGGTCTTAGAGACCGCGCTTTTGTCAGGAGAGAATAGTGGCATTGAAATTTTCTCGGGTGGAAAGGTATGAGACCTTGAGTATGCGGGCGACATAGTTCTTCTAGGTGAAAATCCAGGTAAGCTGCAAGCTTTTCTAGACAGCTTGACGGATTGAGTGGCAATGTTCGGTATGCGTTTTGCACCTTCAAAATGCAAGATGCTGTTGCAGGACTGGGTTGGTCCAACGCTAAACCTTTCAGTGTCTGGGGAGACTGTAAACGTGGTAGACAAGTTATGTTATCCGGGGAGCTTCATTTGAACCGGAGGATATCAGATGAAGTGTCTCTGTGTACACAGAAGGCTCGCTTGGCATTTGCCAACCTGAGTCATCTGTGGCGTCGACATGACATCCATTTACCTATCAAGGGTCAAGTGTACGCTGCAGCAATCAGGCCCGTGCTTCTATATGGTTCGGAGACATGGACATTGCGGGTGGAGGAAATACGAAGATTGTCGGTATTTGATCACCGATGTCTTCGCAGTATTGCTCGAATCTGGTGGGAACACCGTGCGAGCAATGCTGAGGTTCGGATGAAAGTCTTAGATTCAAGAATCAAATCATTAAATAAAACACTTAAGCTGACCAGGCTAAGATGGTTGGGACATGTTTTACGCATGTCCCCTGACAGGATCACTCGGCGCGCCATGTTTGATGAAGCGGGTACCAGCTGGAAGATGAGTAAGGACGGCCGGTCCATGACATGGAAGAAAGGTATGAAAAACCTAACCTGTGGACTTGGCCATGTCGGGCATGTTTGACTTCCCGGGTGGGGTCCAAGAGACCCTCCCGCTCGATGGTTAGATACGTTGGAGGATATGGCTAGATGCCGCGATCAGGAGATAGCAACCAAAGCCACCGCACCCAGTGCATGGTTAAAAGTTGTTTGAACAGAATAGAACAGATTATAATTAAACAAACCGTAAACCAGTAATGTTCGAGTGGTGGCTAAGCCCCGTCCCCTCGCAGGTACACGAGGTTCGAACCCCGCCACCACTACCGACGGTCACATTGAGCTGGTAGACAGCAACCCGCTGTCGCCCGGCTCACTGCCACGCCTGACTTACGGGGACCAGATGTGGTTCTCCAACACAAATATCACGATGTTGGTTTACAGTCCTCTACGTCAGTGTAGTGGGTTTTGACGGCTACGAGCTATGCTCTTTTCATTTTATTTTTGAGCATGAGGTAAATAAATAAATAAAAAACGCAAGCCAATTTTTCAAATGACTTGACTACCAAGATGTTTCTTCTTAGTGCATGACCTTTCTAGTGATCGAACAACATGACAGAAGAACGGATTACAAAGTGTCTCTGCGCTGTAACACATTGTATCAAGCGCACGGCAGGGTGAAAATTCACGAAAAGTCCCGGATCAGCAGGCAGAGATTAATATCACCGGTCGATAAGACAGATTTATGCCACCGTTTACTGTGTAAGCTACTCGTCTTTCAGTTTTCTAGTTTTCTCTGTTGTAATATGGAATATTATGGCTAGATTCATCATGGACGATCTACCGAAAATAAACCGGATGGCTTTTTCGGGCACTTTTAGTTTGGCTGTCTGACTTTGCCCGACCGGTGATGGGCAGAAATGCTATCGTTGGTCGAAATAAAACTGCTCCCGCACCGGTACACAAACACAACTCGGATGACGACAACATTGTAAAGGCGTGAACAGTCAAACAGCTAGAAAACCTGTCATTTTATTCAGAGGTAGATTCTTTTTACTAAGTAAATCTATGAATGGGGAAATTATAAATCTGGTCAATCACATCTGATTCTGACTTCAAATGGACGGTGATAGAATCTCACGGAGTGATGATAGGCGGCGCGTCAGACAGTTTTTTTTTCAGTCGATGACAAACAGGTCATCCACGAAAAGCATCATAATCTAATCAAAAAATAAGGGATAAAATTTTTGACTTGGTATCCAGACTGCAGAATGGAAAACTACGTTGACTGCCCGCGTAAAGCTCCAATTTGAACGTATTTCAAATTTACTAACACTCATGGGAATGATTTCATGTGAAATGCGTGCGAGCTCATTAGTTATTTTACTGCTATATTCAGAAACACAAACCATTTATCAAAGAGGAAATTCGGGCGAAAGGAGTAAAATGTGCCTGGTGAATTGGAAAAAGTCAGACTAGAAGGGAATTTGAACAGGCCATTTTATCGGGTACAGCTGCGTAACGTTTGCTCTAACTGCATGAGAGAATTTTAATCAGTAATAGAAATAAGGGGAAACAAGTTAGTGGGGAATGTTCCAGAATGCGTGGGTTGACAAGGTGGTGGTTTACGACCACCAAGATGTCTGGGGGGAAAATTCAGATAAAATGAATGTTTTTGCTGAAGCAAACGCACATACACACACACACACAATCCAAAATGACCGACGGAAAAGTCATCAATATGAAATGATTCAACTTATTGCGATCATTTGGCAATAAAATAGATTAAAACAGCCTAAAGAGGTCTGTATGTCAATTTACTGAGGCATGCGATCGTAAACACTGGAATGATTCACCGTGTGGGAATAGCTTCACAATGGAGATGCATCAAACGTGAACAAGACCAATTTCCGGTTTTACGTGAACACTGTAGTGATAGCGTAAAAACTTTTTAAGGAACCACTAAACATGAAACGGTCACATCGATAAAGATCGCAGATTATCCAGTAAACTACTGACATCGGAGAGCCGAGACTAAACGGGAAACAAAGTAGCATACATGCATAAAACATGATCGAGTTATTCACATAACAAGTTCATCACTAACTACCAGTGCGGTGGTGGCCTTGTGTTTTTGAACTGACCATCAACCGTGATCCCTTTTCTACAAGAATCAGGGGTGTCCAGCTTGAACATGACGGAGTACTGTAGTTTCCGCTGCTGTCTCTCAACAAAAGGGGGATATTGTCGGAACACTAGAGAGCGCAACTAGGTAGGAACGAAGTCATGAGGTGAATAGAGATTTTAAAAAATTCCACGTACCTCATTCGAAACGTGGCCGTATCGCTTGGTGCGCTTTAATCAGTAGTCCATTAACTCACATGGATTTACAGGAAACCGAAGATTTCCTGGTTGAAAACAAAAGTGTACACTTATCTCCTCACATGAATGTCATGAGGCAACTATCATCAATTAAAAAGAGTGCTCAGTTGAACAATTTTCTTGAAAACTGATCAAGTTTTACAGGCATCGTGGCCAAAAACAGACATTTCTGAAACTGCCAATTCGAATTAGCCGAGGTGTAGTACACGCGATGATCTTGATTGCCCTAGACCAACAAAATCTAAAGAAATGCAATTCGGTTCGGACGTGAAAAATAGCTGGGGACTTCTCTCCACGCAGCCCGGGCACAGGAAGTAATACTATTATGTTAATGTGTTCACGATCGGAACAAGATAACCTGGAACGATGTGAGGAGAACGCCAGTTGGCTGAATTGTAAGGCGACTTGTGGAATCTAAATAGAAATACAACATCCAGACAATGAGCGATAACACATTTTCCTTAGAGCAATTAGTACCAGCATTGATGACATACCATGCTGTATGATGTGATTGTTAGTGACAATACTCTGTATTGTTTTATTACATCCAAGGTCACACACACACACACTATTACTGCGCACAGTACAGTTTCGCTGCATGTACCGTTTTATCTATTGTTCCAACTATTTCAGTGCGCTCAGTTTGGATTGGAGGATTTCCATGTTCATTGTCGGTATACCTAGGCGTGAGCGTAATCTGAATTATTACACTAAGCCACATCGCAATGAAAATTTGTCGGTCACCTTGTCCGGAAATGGAAGCCAGCTGTACTACATTACATGATAAAGCATAGCGCTGCAATGTTCCAGGGAAATGCGACTTGGTACAAGAGGATCGGCATACTAACCCTGAATTCGGAAGTGAAGAATTACATAGAGTGCAAAAGAAAACGTATGGTTCTACGTCGTGCGGTAAAAGCGGAGAGCAGATATTCGTTTTCCATCCAAACTAGGTGGGCATGGGAAAACACCACCACAGAACTCCACTGAATCATCGTTGTCAAAGCGCACTGAGTTACTACGGAGGAATCTCAGCGGTTTTGTTTAATAAAACCAGAAAAAGTGGAATACAAAATCGAAGATGATATGAAGACCAACGCAAGCTCGTTGTTCTCTGAACCGGATTAAATTTTATCTTACTCGGTTCCATCTGTTCCCCGTTCATCCGGTAGGGATATAACATCGTTTGATCCTCTCGATTAAGAGTGCGAGGGCTTGGATAGCCGTTGGCGGTTTGAGGAATCGAAGACTGTTGCTGATCGTTGGGCACCATCCAATCGCTCAGTCTAGTTGGCAGCGGTGGGGGCGGGTATTCCGGTGGCGGTGGGATGGGATGAATCGAATTCGGAACGCCCATGTAACTACTAGTGACGGTAGCCAGTTGGGCTCTAGAATGCATAGGCCATCGATGGGTCGCAGGATGACGATCAGTACGAGGATCCACGAAGACAGATTCTTCTTGCATTAAGCCACTGGAACCTCCAATGCTCTGTGACATGCCAACAGCACCAACCGGACAGTGAGCTTGCTGTTTTGGGTTTTAAAAATAAGTGAAACCATTGTAACTTAAACTATCAAGCGGATAATCAGAAAAATGGAGAAAAATCAAAATGACGCGCTGAAACGGAGCACATTCTGAGCATGAAGGTGGCCGTACAACACCGGAATTTTTCTTCCGTCTTGCATGGGTACATGATTTCCAAGAATTCCACCGTTCTATCATTAGTGGGATTTGTGGCTATGAATACCACACAGCCCCATTTAGGTGCCATCTGGGATCGAGGGATGAATAATAGACACAAAGAGCCAAACAGAATCAAAACTAAATGAAACAAAATTTAATTCTAACCAGTAGTGATAAAACTAGATGTAAATAAATATCTTCAGCAGTGAGTAGACAGTGTACAATGAGGAACACACCGACACTTGTTTGTAGGAGCAGGAAAGAATAAGGACTAGAACACACCCATGTGAAGCCTCAGTGCACCGGTTTTAAGTATAGATGATAGCCGAATCAGTACACGTTCAACTCGAAACCGCCAATTAAGCTGTATGCCTGATATTTAGCATTTGATGAACAGTTTCCGGCTGACAAGTAAACCACTTTTCTATGTAGATACTCAATATCAGTAGGATGCAAAAGATGTCTAGAGGCACAGGAGGAAGCCGGATCCGTTTCAATGGACAGATACTTCCAGTATGTTTACCGTAGCAGTTTCTAATTTTAGTAACCGGTGTCGATGCAATGGCGCAAGCCTGTATCAGCTCTGAGGTATGACATTCGAGCCCTGTAATCTCCGAGGCTACACAGTAACCCGCTTTCGCCCGGTTTGTTAATACGCCTGACCTACTGAGCCCTTGTGTGGATCTTCACTCCAAGTCTAAGGGCCAGAATAGGTCTTTGTGGTCATGGTGCATGCCCCTCCTACTGCATTCATGCTCAAATATGGTACGAAAACTCATTCCCATGAACAGAAGTTTGGTAGCACAGAAGGTATTGTTCCAGCTGCAAATTAGTTTTCACCATAATCAACGGGGATAAAAACAGCAAAAGGTAGGTAGCAAAAAATACTTGTTTTGTGCACTTTCACTTGGTCGTAAGCATTTGCCATTCATCGATTTTCATGTTGCAGTGTTACCACCATACCAGTCTTCCTGCTGGTAATATCTATATCCATACACGTACACTTTTTCTCAGTAAAATGGACAACATGTTCATATAGAACTCGAAAAAGTACCGTTCCGTCAAACAAGTAACGAGTAGGATTTCATATGTGCTGCATTATGAGTGACTGGTGCGACTGTCCGTCGTGATACGGAAAGCAGGGTGACAGATGCTGTCAAGACGGTACGTAACACGAAGGACAGCCGTCCTTGCCGAAGCCTACACCACAGAAGGGTACTTCTATTCAACGGCTTAGGACTGACGTCTTGTAAGATATTGGATATGCTCTGGTGAGTGGTGGTTGCTAAAACTGATAACAGATTTGTAGCTAAAACCCACCAAACTCTGACTGATGATTCCAGTCTCGGCATATTTTTAGAACCGGGGGCACTGACAATCGCCAGAAAACAAAAGTATATGCTTGGTCGGAAGGAAAATAGGATGTTACTTATTCAAATAGACCACAGACATCCATCGTAGAATCACTGGTCATTATGTTGGAATCAGGAAATTGTCGTCAAATGTCAAACGATCGAGCATGTGACAAACATCGAAATTCGTGCACGGCTATAAATATTGAAAAATCATTAGGACTGACCATCTGGAAAGGACAAAAGCCTTCCCAATGGGGTGGTGCGGTGACGTGAATGGAACTACATCTGTAAGTGATATCACATAAAATGCTTGCAAGCGAGCAATCACTTCACGAAAGCGAGTGGTGCACGATGCACTAGCATAAGAAGTCCACCAAGATAGGTGGAAAAAATCAGATCCCAAACGATGTTATTACCAGTGAGTGATGAAAATTTAGCTTTGCTCGTAATAATCAGTAATAAATTAGTACTATTATTTAAATATTACTATATACTGCATACATGCCCCTAAAATTTCATCCTATTCGTCTCATATTCTCCGAATTTTGGAGGACTGTGAGCTTTCGAAACACATCAAACTCGATAGTTACCACGTTTAGTCAACAGTGAGATTATCAACGTAATTTGTAGAGTATGACACCTGAAAATGTTTTTCTTTAGAATTTCCACGTTTTATAACAAACACATGAAACTCAGCTGCAGTCTCATTTGAGTCGAATGGGACGAGTATGGACGGAGCCCATTGTTAGAATCATACGGTGATTCTCCCAAAGTCAATTCGTCGGTTAACACGGCTAACCTTCAGAACGAGAACACATGATCCCAAATATGGGTTTTCGATATGAGTAGCATCGCATTGTGTCTGCATGACAACAAACCGACTATAGAGTGCCCAAGTATAAGGATGATTGGGCGGAAGAGTAGCGGGTACGCCTACCTGATGAGCGGCAACAACCGCGAAACTGATTGTGCTTAGGGGGGAATTTGGTCCTGTCATTCAGATACAATACCATACCGAAAATCCATACTTGAGACCATGCGTCCTCGTTCTTAAGGTTAGCCGTGTTCACCGACGAATTGACTTTGGAAGAATCACCGTGTGATTCGAAAATGACCTCTCCGTCCATGCACGCTCCATTCGATGCAAATGAGATTACAACTGTGGAATGTTTAAGTATAAGGATGATTGGGTGGAGGAGTAACGAGTAGGCATACCTGATGAGCGGCAACAACCACGAAACTGGTGGTGTGCCTCCGGGGAAATTTTGTCGTGTCATCCAGATACGAATCCATACTACTCGTGTTGAAAATCTCTTCCATTTCGCAATAATACCAACGAAACATTCTAATTCTGGCTCCGGGTAACTGCCCATAACAATTTATCTGATTTAATGGATTTACAGCATCCAAGGGACAACCAACATTTCGAACGGTGACAAAGACAAATCATATGTCGCGTGTAAATCTTCACCCTCCAACAGCTGTTAGAGCACCGACTTATCTTTCAGAGACCAACGTCTCTAATCCAAGACAATCCTCATCCACTTGGCCCCGAGTGAAATTTAGGGACGCGCCACCTGAAGCCAGCTTTCTCGTGCTCTTACATCAAACCATAGTATGATCGCAGGGTTGCTTCAGCTAGTCTTGCTCAGCACGTGCGAATAGAGCATGGAAAGATACATGATGAGCAGGCATACGCGAAATATCTCTTCCGAAAACGTTGTCTCTTCATCTGTAGATACGTCTTAGATCAAAAAATTGCAACTAGTGACCGCAACGTCGTTCTCGAGATTAGCTGCAACTAGCCCAAGCAGAACTATGAGCGAATCACCGTTGTGGTTCCTTGTTGGACTCTTCTAAGGGGAGCACCTCCGCACACTGTTTGTGTCAATAATACATTCTAAAAACTAGGCTGTTGTGAAAAATATGCAAAACATATCCGAGCTATCGAATGCGGTGTAGAACGATTAACTCGGTCAGATGGCGGCAATCCGTACCTAACTCATGATGACGAACTTCATCATAGTCCACTCGATGTTTCTACTATGTATATATTCATATATATTTTCCACACCCGCCTGATTTCAGACAGCGTGCCAAACAAAACACGGTACAATCGGGTAGGAAGGGGTAGATAGTTCGAGTTCATGATTTGCTTATGGGCGCGATACTGTCAGGTTGCTCAAGCCAAAGCAGATGGCTCTCTAGGGGTCCACAAACGGAGCCTTTATCCATCCAAAGCTTAACTCGCAAGGCAGCAGGACGAAACGTGGGGTCCATAACCCACCGGGAGCCGGTGACTGAATGCTCAGTTCATATGTCCTTCGGATGAAACCAAACGTCCTGGGTGCCCAGTGCACCTCTGCGCCACAGATGCCGGTGAGCATACTGTTGTACGTCTCATACGTCATCCATGGTTGGTTTGGAATTAGGGTTTAGCCATCTCCCCTAGACTGATTATTAGTCAGCCAACCCGGTGGAGCCCCGGGTATTCGTTTTCGTCTTCTCACTTTAGTGGGAACGGATCCGCCACGAGAAGGTAGTGGGTAGGACTTCCTCAGCAAAGGCTGTGTTAGACGCACGGTCACTTGGGAGCATTTCGAGAGGACGGGTAGCCATCTCGGAGCCTGAGACACCCGCTCCTGACCATACTGAGGCACTTGGAGGTTGTTCCTACTATGCGCGAGCAATGTTTCCGGATCAACGGAGATCGAATAAGGAAAGCCACTCAGCGTTCGGGTTTCGAAACCCTACAGCAAAACACTACGCATAAAGGAGCTCCGCACCGGTTCCTTCAAAGATACTCGTATGTTGTCGCGGCGTCATAAGCGTCGCAATTTACCGAAAGTCAGTCTGTTTCTCATCAGTTGCTACAATATCCTCATCGGCACTTCTGCTATCTGTAACGCAGCTCCCGAGGTATGTAAAGCTGTCGATCACTTTTACCGGATCACTAAAAAAGTTGATTGCAGACTCAGGTTCTTTTCAGACTTGTAAAAAGATTCTACAATTAGATAGAGCATAGTGTATACCAAGTCTTCCAGAGCTTCATCGATTGTTAACTGGTATCTAGTCTAGTAGTGCATTTTTCCCTATCGTCCACCTAATGCCGCAGCCCAAGGGTCCTCAGAAAGCTGAATGTAAAATGACGCTAAGGGATTTCAAGGAGGCGCCAACCGGACTATGAAACTAGGAACTTAAGCGTAACATCTTTCAATAGTACGAATCTCAGGAGTACGGGTAAACATCGCCTCTTGTCCTTCGCGCATCAGTATTTGCACGTTTATTGCGACTGTTCTGAATGCGTATCAAGGGAGAAAAGGGGGCATACGTGGGCTCAGGCCGGTTAGGTTTGTGTACATTAGTCGTCGCATGTATGGTGGGAATTTCTAATACTAGTGATCAGAACTCCCGTTGAATAATTTCAAGAGAAAACGGGGAAGGAGTAAATTAGTGTAAGAAAGCTTTCAAAGCGCTACACAATTTCAT